AGGAATGAACTCAAATTCAAATCCTGGGTTGAAGACTTTTTATTTTTTTCTCTTTTCCCGGCCCCTAGTGGTTCACAATTGGCAGATGTTGAAGACTCAGTTTGGGAGCCAATCAACCCCTGAGAGTTGTTGATTTCCTTAGAGCTTCCATAGAGTCTGTCATTCATCTGCTTTGAGCTTGATCCACAATTAGCTTCTTTTTTTACATTATGACCTTCTATGCTTGAAAGAAGAGCCAATTGTGCTGTCAAAGGCCTGAGGACACCCGTTATTGCATTTCCATTGCTACTAGATAGAGTTACTAAAGCACAATAGCTTTCTTTATACAAAAAACTGAGAAGAATTTTCCACATGACTGGGGAATTTCCTGGGGCATGCTGACCCTTCACTCCAGATAGTACATCAAGGACTCCATCAATGAAAGTATCGCTACAGTATTTAGTTTTGCATCTGGTTGACTCCTGCACTAAAACATAACTAGACGAGCATCCTTCGTTTTTTTCCCCTACATTGTTCTTCTTCACAGCCTTGAGATGCATCGTTATTGAACCTTCACCAAGACAAGACCAAAACAATTCTTCTCGATCACACCCTTCATTTCGCTTGTCTCCAAAACCTAGTGTATTCAGAATATCTTCAGATCTAAGCCTGGGCAACGTCGTGAAATTGAGCAATTCGAGATCACAAAACTTGCATTCCAAAGGCTTCCCATTGACATCAAGGATCTCAAGATTCAGTTGCGCAGAACTACTATCAGATGAACCAATGCTTTTCATAAAATCAAACGAGGCCCCAATTTCAGGATATATCAATCCAAATGGAATCAGAGCGGAACATAAAACAATGGAATTAGTTGAACTAATCCCCCAGCCCAAATTTCTAATTCCATTCTCCAACATGGACGACCATTCACCTTCATCAACAAATTCAACCTTCTCTCCCTCCTTTATTAAATCTTTCACGTCGATCCAACTAAAATGAATACTTCTATTATAGAAAGAGTTCCTCACAAGACCAAAAATTTCATTGAATTTGACCATAAAACCTTCGACATCCTTAAAAATTTCAGAATTCACATTCACATTCATATACTCAGCTACATTACTCAAGGATCTACAAATAGGCGAAAACAAAATAACCAAATTTCGAGATATCTTAGGAATCTCACCAGTTAACTTATCTGGAGGACTCTCAATTTCAGACTCCCAAGCATAATCATGTACTAGCTGGATAAGAGAACCGGAAGTGTGACAAGCCCTAGGATAATTCGCCTCTAATTCGATTGGCAGCAGCGAGAGGGAATTTAGGATTTCGGTGATGGAATTTAGGGTTTGAGACGGGTGGTTGAAAGCAAGGGAAGCGACGGAGAGGTTCGGGAACAAGCGATTAACGGCGGAGGAGGAACGGAGAGGGGAAAGTGAAGAGAAGAAAAGTTTGAAAGCGAAAAGCGAGTTGGAGAGAGATGGGAAAGTAAGGAGGCGCGTGGAGGTCACGAGAATGGAGGTGAGGTAATGGCTGCTAGGGTTTTGAAGAGTGAGAAGTGGGTGCAGATCGATGAGGAGCACTATCCTTTGGGTTTTCGAGTAGTCTACAGTTTCCGGCATTGATGCAAATGCAGAGTACTAACTTGCGCCGTGTGTAACGGAGGGGCGTATCTCTATCACTAGCAAAGACGCCACGTGTTACAGTTTTTATTCTCCGGCGGAGTTAACACGTGCCGGGAAATTTTTTTGGCTCCACCGCCGATCTCTCTCTCCGTTGGGTTTTTGATTGCAGAGACGACAGTAGTCTAACATGTGCGGCAGGTATTCGAATGTTCGAGTGGAGTTAGAACATGCTCGAAAATGTTATGGCGGGAAACGGAAGTGGCGGGAATTGTTTGGTTTTCAAAGAAAAGAAATGATTGCTAAATTGCGCAGCGATCTCAACCACGTGATGAGAAATATACCCATGTGACGGCCACGCCATCTCTAATATCCATTACAGTATACTGATAATCGACGTAAAAATACGCAAAATCCTCATAAATTCTTAGAATGCACGGGCGGACCAACCTGGTCTCAAGGGGTTCACTTGAACCCGTTTCGTCAAAAAATTATATTGTATATATTGATAAATTATATTTAAAAGAGAAACATTATAGTACAAAATATAATTTGAACCCGCTTTAACACAAACAGTCGATTGTCGAAGTGGTCGAGCGGGTTCAAAATTTGCAAGGGGTGCTAGATCGAATCCCGTTTGGGGCGTTTTCCAATTAATTCTTTTAAACCGTGCTTGGACTGCAGTTGTGTGCCACGTAAAGCTAAGATATTCTTTGTCTCAAATTAAACATCATCTTGCCCTTCAAATTTAGTCCTTTGTCATTTTACTATTACACTTCTTTTTCTGTTCTCTTTTATCTGCAAATAACAACTTCCTATTAATAACATGGAAAACTTTAGAATTATTTAAATATCTTAGAGTTAATAAGTATTTGTTAATTAGAATTTTTTATGTAAAAATTGTTAAATTAAATAGACAAATTTCTTAAAATAGAGATAGATAATCTTTTTAACCTTCATAAAATATTTTTAGGTTTATTAAAATTATAGAGTGCCAACTTTAAAATGACTTCATTTTTAGATTGTATTAAGAACAAAAAAGGATAATAAAATGATCAAACCCTACTTGTCATACCCAATACCACTTATACTATTAGATACATTCGTTTTTTACTGAACCCGCTTGCTCAAAATCCTGGGTCCGCCACTGTTAGAATGTAATGATTGAAGTGTGAACATATTATTGATTTAAAATCGAATATTGTTAAGAAATTAGTGTTACTCTTAATTTTAACTTATACTAGTTTTCGGGTACACGCTTTGCGCGCGAATCCTAATTTAATGAATATATAGATTTTAAAATTATTTAACTACAATATTAAACAATGTATTGAGTTTTCAAAATAAATATATAAAAAATAGCCTATGATTACTTTGTGTGTACATTAAAAGTTAGTGATTTTTTCCTCACAGGTTGACTTTGCTTATGGATAATCAACCACAATTTTAGTCTAAGAGATATTTGTCACCTTCATTATTCTATAAAGAGTTTCTATACTTTATTCTTTATGTCATATAAAGAAACATACGGTATAAGCATACTCACAATTAAAATTTATTGCTTTGGTGTAAAAATTATGTGATGATTCATAGACTATCATATGCAATACAGTACCTAGTAACTAAATTAAGCTACAATTTATTTAAGATTTTAAAATAAATCATGTATTGGTCACTCCTATTCCAAAGCATGCAAAGCCAAATAAGACCCACAGTTGTCGTTGAGCAATCAAATTTATGGAAAGAAAAGAACTCTTTCCGCAAGTTGTCCTCATACAAAGCAAAAGCATATTAATTATCCATACTATATCAGTTTTAAATTCAAAATATTAAGACTCCATACCTAGTTTAATCATAAATTATTTAACAATTAAAGTTTTAGTTAATTTTAAAATTCTAAATATTAGAAAAGTGTTATAAATATTAAAAAATAATTAAATAGTTATTTCTAAATATTAGAGAATTAATTAAATAATTGTTTAATTAAATGACTATTCCTAATAGGGAAAATTTCATATTAAAACAATTGGGCTGCCTCCTTTTCAGCTTTATAGCCCATATTTCAATTTACAATTGAGTAGCCCAAAAATTATAGGGCCATATCTGAAAAAGGAGCGTTAATTCCGTTTTTTGGGGAGTAAAAAGCGGGATTTTCTGTATTTTCTCATATTCTTTCCAATCTTCTTCCCCAAATACTTCAAAAACGAGATCTTCCCATGAATGCAGCTCCAAAAACCCTAGAATTTCTTCTTCATCTCGAATTAACAACAAATCAAACACAAAAAGTAAAATTTGTTTGCTGCAAATCAGCGCAATTTTAGTTTTTGCTTCAATTTTGGTTTCCATTTTTTGTTCGATGGAGATTTTTCCAGTTTACGTTCTTCATAGTGGTGAATGGGAAGAAAACAAGTTTATCAATGGTCAGCGATTATGTAATAATCGAGTCGACATTCACCTACAACAATTCAGTTGCAACTATTTCGGAACAGATTAGGATCGATAGTGAGTTAAACACAATAGAGATTAACTTTCTCCCAAATGTTGGTTTGCCACCGATCCTGACTTACAACGATACAGGTGTGAAGGTGTATATCGAATTAAAGAAGAAAAACTTGAATTTCACTGAATATCCTTTGTTTGTGACAGTGAAAAAGATATATGAAAATCGTTTGGTTCCTACAAGTTCTAGTTGTGTAGTTGCTACAAGTTCCAGCTGTTTTGTTGGTACAAGTTCGGATTCTAGAGATGTATCAACAATTGATAGCACTGAGATTATTGATATCAAATTTATTGAAAACACGAAATTTAGTGAAAACACGGGTATAATAGATGATATATTGAACGAATTTGTTGAGGAAGATCAAGTTTATAAGGATAAAGAGACAGTTGTCACTGTGATGAAGAACTTGGTTGTACGTGAAAGGTTCCAATTCAAGGTGAAGAGATCAAGCGCAACAAGGTATGTAAATAATTGTATATTCTGTTATATATATGTATAAATATGTATAAAGTAGTATATATTTGTACCTAGGTATAATTAGTATATATGTAGTTATGTTTTTGTATACAAGTGTATTTAGAAGTTGAACGATCTTTAATCCTAGGTATTACCTTATGTGTATGGATGAAAATTGTGCTTGGAGTTTCAAATCTTCTGCCGTTTTCAAGGCAAACATATTCAAAGTGAGAAGTTACAATAATGATCACACATGCGGCTATGGTGAAAGATACTTAACACAACGTCAAGCTACTTCGGGTGTAATTGCTAGTATAGTCAAGGACAAGTATGTTAATCCAAAAAAAGTTTACACCGCAAATGACATAATAGAGGACATACAAAAACAATACGGAATTGAGGTGAGCTACATGAAAGCATGAAGAGCTAAAGAGATAGCAATGGCAATGATAAGAGGGAGTCCTAGTGATTCATATAAGGAGTTGCCGAAGTATTTTTATATGTTAGAGCAAACAAATCTAGGAACGGTTACAAAGTTGCACAAATCAGAAGATGGATGCTTTTTTTATGCATATGTTTCGCTATATGCATCTATCAAGGGCTGGGAGAATTGCAGACCGATAATGGTTGTTGATAGAAGTTTCCATAAAGCAGCATATAAGGGTACCATATTGACTGCTTGCACACAGGATGAAGCTGGTGAGTTGACTGCATCTATCTTGTTTCTGCAATTTGTATAATTTTGTAGTTTCATGTATAAAAGTGTATAGGATTTCACAACTACTGTTTTTATAAAATTTGCAGTTGGTATAAAATTGTATAATTATGTATAACTGTGTATAATATTTGTATAATTGTTTGAATCCTAATATCTATTTTGTATAAACAGGAAAAATCCTTCCACTTGCATATGCAATTGTAGATTCAGAGAATAACAAATCTTGGGAGTGGTTCTTTGTCCAGATAAAGGGTACTTTTGGAGTTACGGAAGGGATGTGTATAGTTTCAGATAGAAATGAAAGCATCTTCAATGCCACAAAAGCTGTGTACCCAGAAGTACCACATTATATTTACATGTTTCACTTGTGGCAGAATGTAAAGCGCACATTCAAGAAACAACACAAACAATTGAAGGATATCTTCTTTGCTTTGGCTAGAGCTTACACGGTAGAGAAGTTTGAGTACCATATGACAGAGATGTGCAAAATTGATCTGAGAGTTCAGCCTTACTTGTTCGAAATTGGATACGAAAGGTGGTCTAGGGCATATTCCAAAGTGAAAAGGTCAATGGTAATGACTTCCAATATTGCAGAGTCAATTAATGCAGCAAACAAGGATGCTAGAGAGTTACCAGTAATGCGATTGCTGGAGTACATGACAAATTTGCTACAACAGTGGAACAACAAAAATAGAAAAAGTGAAATTGAGACATCTACAGAGCTTGGCGAAAAGTACGACAAACTCCTTCGGGAAAATCTGATTGCATCGGAGCAAATGACGGTAAAATGAATCAAATATAATGATGTTTGGCACTGCTGACTTGCATTTTACTGCTTGTATAAGGATGTATATCTCTGTCTAATAATGTATAATGTTCTTTCATTTTTTAACTTTTGCAGGTGAGGCCTGCTACGGAGAAGTTATATACTGTGTTTGAAGGGGTAAGACGAAACATAGTGTGCCTTGAAGAGGGAACATGCAGTTGTGGAAAATTTCAAATGGATGAACTTCCATGTCCGCATGCTTGGGCGGTTTTGAAGAACCAGCAGCTGAAACCTGGCCAGTATTGCTCTTTTTAACTTTCTAGTGAATCCGATGCCAGATGAGAGTCTATGGGTAATCCCAACAGAGGTGATGGAAGATGTGGTCCTACCACCTAAAGGGAGGAGGAATGCAGGAAGGCCAAGAAAGGAAAGACTCAAACCTGCTTCAGAATAAGAGTCTAAGAGGGCATTTTCATGTTCTGTGTGTGGACAAGGTGGCCACAATAGAAAAACATGTAGGAATCGACCAAAATAGATAGTTGAAAACATAACACTTCCTATTACATTTGTTGTCATGTTGATTAGTTAAGTTTCACAAAGAATAGAGTTACAAATGTTGAGTAGTTAAGTCTCACAAGTAATTGAATTACAAATGTCAATACAGATTTACAACTTACGCTATATATTGCAATTGTGTTAAATATGTTTCATTATACATGTTTTGATTATTAAATAATAGTGTGTTTCTGTTTTTAATGGTGCTAAATATATTGATACATTGTACAAATACAAAACAGAACTGCTGGTATTTGTAACGACTCGATCGGTCGTTTTGATCTCTAGCGCGTCGTTCAGCAGTTGAAAGTCACGAACAGCTTCATTTCAGGTACATTGACTTGTGCGTATGGTCAGAGTTGAATTTCGGGAAATTCGGAGTCAAATTGGAAAGAAAATTTTTATTTCGGCAGCCTTAAGTTGAAGAAAATGGCTAAGATTGGAATTTTGAGTAAACGACCTCAGAATCGGGATTGAAAGTTCCAGCAGGTTCGTATGATGATTTCGGACTTGGGCGTATGTCCGGATTTGGTTATGATAACCCGTGAGCATTTCGGCGTATATTGTTGAAGTTGGTATTTTAGAAGAATTTCATAAATTTGGGTTGGAAGGCATTTCAGTGTTATAGATGTCCGTTTGGGACTCTGAGTCTAGGTATAGCTCCGTATGGTGATTCTGGAATTGGAAGCGCGATCGGAAGTGAATTCAGATGTCCGAAGGTCATTTTGAAGTCATTTGGCTAAATATAGAAATTTGAAGTTTTTTTTTAGAAAATTCGACCGGAAGTGGAAATTTTGATATCGGGGTCGGAATGCGATTCAGAAAGTTGGGGCAAGTCCGTAATGTCGAATGTGACTTGTGTGCAAAATTTGAAGTCATTCCGGAATGATTTTGGTAAGGTTTGAGACACTTAATCTCTTTTAAGGAAGTTTAAGTTGGAAAAGTCAACCAGATATTGACTTATGTGTTAGAGGGCTCGAAATGTGAATTTTATGGTTCGGATAGCTTCGTTAGGTGATTTGGGACTTAGGAGTGTGTCCGGAATATTTTTGTGATGACCGGTGTAGAATTAAGCTTGAATTGGCAAAGTTAGTATTTTGACGAATTCCGGTTGATAGGTGAGATTTTGATCTGAGGGTCGGAATGGAATTCTGAGAGTTGTTGTAGCTTCGTTATGTCATTTTGGACTTTTCTGCAAAATTTGAGGTCATTCGGACGTGGTTTGGTTGGGGTTTTGATCAAAAATGGAATTTGGAAGTTCTTGAGATTCATAGGCTTGAATCCGATGATGATTTGATGTTTTGATGTTATTTTGGGTGTTCCGAAGGTTGGGACAAGTTTGAATGATATTGTGGGACATGTTGATATAATTGGTTAAGGTCCCGAGGGCCTCGGGTGCATTTTTAAGGTTAATGGAATGGAATTCGGACCCAAAAGAAAAGAAAAAGCTGCTGCAATTTCTGCTGCTAAGCTGTCTTTGGACAGCAAATGTGCAGTCGTGGATCGTACTTCGGAGGCCTATATCTTTTGATCTACAAGGAATTTTGAGATGATTCAAAAATAAAAGTTGTAGCCCTTCGTGTCTAGTTTTCAGAAAGCTATATAAATCGTAATTTGGACATCTTTAGAGGAAGTTATGATCGATTAAATATGACTGGTGGAGCAGTTTCTCCAGAATTTTCTGATTTCATGGAGCCGACTTTAGAAGCTCATATCTCGGGATATATAAAGAGTTATATGGTGTACAACCTATCAAATTAAAGATCTTCGAGTCTAGTTTCTAAATCTTCAAACCGTTTGTCATTTGGATATTTATACAAGACGTTATGGGTGTTTAAACAGAAGGTGTCCGACAAGAGTAAATTTTAATAGGATGTACAACTTGTATAGCACAAGTGCAAGGTACAACTCGACGAAGCACGGGCAGATTCTTTAAACACGGATTTGGCTTATTTCTTTCATTTCTTTCATTTGGCTTGGATGATTTTGGAGAGAATTGCAAGGGGGATTTCATCAAGCATCAAAGGTGAGTTGTTTCTACTTATTTTCAAGTTAAATACATGATTATTATGTGAAATTAACCTAGAAATTCATGGAAATTAAGCCTAAAATTGATGATCTAGGGCTTGGGATTTTGAGATGTTAGATTGGGATTTGATGGGTCATTTGAGCTCGGATTTGAGAGTTCTTGGTATGTATGAACTCGTGAGAAGATGAGGAATCTATTGACGTTAATTTTTTGATTTTTCGAGAAGTGGGCCCGGGGCTCGGGTTTTGCTAATTTCGAGATTCTTGATGTTTTTTTATTGTTTTCGATTGGGTAATGTGCCCTTAGCATATTGTGATGTATTCGCTCTGATTTTGGTTAGATTCGACACGCGTGGAGGCCGATTTGATGGGGCAAGGACGTCGCGAGCTAGAGTTTTCACCGGTTCGAGGTGAGTAATGATTGTAAATGATATCCTGAGGGTTTGAAACCCCGGATTTGCACGCCGTAGTGCTATATTGAGGTGACTTGCACGCCGGATAGCGAGCGTGGGGTAGAGCACCGTTGGGGATTGTGACTTGGTCCGTCCCGATTGTTGATTTTACCGCGTATTTGACTGAAACTTATTTGATATTATCATGACTTGGGCTGATTGCCATACTTGGGGCTTATTGCCGACTGTTTAAAATCCTTGTGAGCTATCATCACTGTTTTCCTCACTATTTGAAATATTATTTGAACTCAGTCCATTTGAATTACACTGTTTCATGAACACAGCTATATTTTTACTCAACCTTGAGTTTTAACTGATGTTTGAACTATTGTATGAGCTGAGCATTATTGTCTTTACTGATGCCTGAGGGGCTTATGATTATTTTTGGACTGATTGAGGCCGGGGGCCATATGTGAGGATATGTCGAGTGATATGTGAGGAGGCTTTCAGGCCTCGAGTGTATTGTGAGAAGGCTTTCAGGCCTCATGTTAATATGTACAGGCTTTCAGGCCTTATGATGATATAGCGCTTGGGCTGTAGGAGCCCCTCCGGAGTCTGCACCCCCATAGTGAGCGCGGGTACCCATCTAGAGCGGATAAATGTTAGACAGTGGTAACAATGGCACTGTTGTACGCGTTTTGGTCAGGTAACAATGACTGACCAGTGGTAACAATGGCACTGTAATACGCGTTTTGGTTAGGAACAATGGTTGACCGGTCAGGTAACAATGACTGACCAGGAACATAAATCGTGCCCGAGGGGCCGGTACTGTTTTGAGATATTGCCCGAGGGGCGAACTTTTATGTGCTCATCTTGCATACTTATTTGCCTCTTTACCTGTTATACCGTGGTATTTGTGCCCGAGGGCGGATTTTCTATGCGTATCAGCACTAACTGTTTTGAAATCATTTTCGTAATCACTGAAAAGATCATTTTTAAAAGAGATTTGAACTGAGCCAAGGTATTTCTAAAGATTTCACAGATTTCACTGTTTTTCTCAGAAAATTGCACCCGGCTTCTGTATAGCATGCTGGTTGCTTTACGTGATTTCTTGCTGCTCAGTTATTATTTACTTCTATTACTCACTGAGTTGGAGTACTCACTTTACTCCCTGCACCTCGCGTGCAGATGCAGGTATTGTTCACCCGGTAATGGGTTTTGAGCTGGTTGAAGGTATTGCTATCGTAGCTGAGCAGAGTGACCGCCAGCGTTCGCGGCACCGGATTACTTCCTTTGGTTCTAAATTTTATTTCGTATATTGTTGGCCATGTAGTTGTATTTAGACTTCTCTAGATGCTCGTGACTTGTGACACCTCGGTCGGGCTGTGTTGGGTTGTAAATACTGNCAAGGTGGTCACAATAGAAAAACATGTAGGAATCGACCAAAATAGCTAGTTGAAAACATAACACTTCCTATTACATTTGTAGTCATGTTGAGTAGTTAAGTTTCACAAAGAATAGAGTTTCCTATATTGAGTATTAAGTCTGGGAGAATTGCATACAAATGTTGATGAAGTTTTACAGCTTACGCTATATATTGCAATTGTTTTAAATATGTTTCATTATACATGTTTTGATTGTCCAATAATAGTGTGTTGTTGTTTTTAATGGTGCTAAATATATTGATACATTGTACAAATACAAGACAGAACTGCTGGTATTATATGTATACAGATGTATAAATGAGAGTATAAGTTTGTATAAATATGTATAAACCTTGCTACAACAACAAAACTGCAACCATAATGAAAATACATACTTTGTTAAAGGACAAAAGCAACTGATATATTCATTAAAATGTAATTCATTCACAGCCACAATGTGTAATGACTACCGCAAATTACACAAAAATAAAAACATCTATAAAATCCTTTAATGCTATCTCACAAGTAGCAGAATAGTACTTAGACAAAACTAGGCAACAACTCCTGATACATAGAAAAACTACAGTAAAATGGGAAAAACAGAACTACTTTCTCGGTCGCCCCCTCTTCCTCTTCTTGAAAAGTCTCCCTGTGATTTCATCACCACTAATTGCACCGGACTGTTGTTTTTTCCTTCCATAATCCCATAACAGAGATCCCCACCTGGTGCGAAGTGTCTCAATGTCAAAATTATCTTTTCGAATTTCCTTACCAAGGATGAAATACTCAGCAAAGCCAGCAACAAAAGCACCACAATCACTGTAATTAAAAAGAAAAAAATTAGATTCAAATAGGTAAACTAATAGTAAAATAGTAAAACAATTGAGATTAACCTACCATTTGATCTGTTGGGGAA